CTTAATCCCCTCTCTCCTCCCCCCTCCCTCCTGCCCCTGTAACCGCAACCATCTTTGGCTTCAATATAATTATTTACTTTTTAATGTTATTAAGTAGATAGTTGGGCAATACTCAGGTGTTAAACTAATCATAGAGTTTTATTTTCAATATAAACTAAACATACTAAACCAATCACCTCCCCCATACTCAGGTGTTAAACTAATCATAGAGTTTTATTTTCAATATAAACTAAACAAACTAAACCAATCACCCCCTCCCCCCTCCCATGAATACCAAAACTGCATTCAGGTGGAAAATAACTTTAAACGGATACAGAAATTTTGAGTAAATTAAGGAGGAAAGGAACTAAGTTTTTGTCACAAACTCTACTTTTCTAATCTCTATATCTTTGCTACCCAATGTCGTAGACCTTTGATAATTTAAACTATGAATTCTCTTAGACCAAATAATCTTAGTTTGAAATATCAAAGGTTTACATCATCAGATTGTAAAGATATAGAGATCAGACATCTTGAGTTTGTGACTAAAACTCAGTTTATTTGGGAAGTAATACAGTAATTGTTTTAAAACAAAAACGTGCATGGGATGTCAGGCATAATGTATTTTAAGCAAAAGTGCAGGAATCTAGACAGGAAGTAAAGTATTGCAAAACAGTGGTAAGTAAGACGTCACAAAGTCAATTAAAGCAAAATTGCTGGAAGTTAGCCAGGAAGTAAATCAAAGAAAAAAATTCGAGAAGTAATAAGGAATCTAGAACAGGAAGTAAATTAAAGCGGAATAAAAGGAAGATAGACCGAAAGGAACTTAAAATAGAAATGGTGGAATTCAAAAGTCATTGAATTTGTGAAAGTAAAAAAGTAAAAAGAAAATAATAATCTTTAAACATGAATTCCCTGATATCTAAAACTAATATTTAACCAAATCTTAAAAAATCTTTTAATAGAAATCATTGATTTTGGACCTCAGCCAAATATAAAAGAAATCCTAGAATTATCCCAAACTTTTGGGCCTCTGGAAAAGACCTTCGAGTAAGGTTGTTAATCGTATTTGAAAACGATCGTTTTTTGTTTCGTTTTCCGACCTTTTTCAAAAACGATCGTTTCGATTTTGGAAAAAAACGATCGTTTTTAAAAATGATCGTTTTATAAAAACGATCAGCGATCGTTTTTTACGATTGTTTTAAAAAAACTATTGTTTTTGAAAAAACAATAGTTTTTGAAATCTTTTTTGTTTGTTCTGGCAATGACCTAAGAGCTCCTGGGACAGTTCCGATTTTAAATATTTTGTCTGACATCTTTTCTGTTTATTAGAAAATAATTTAAATAAAATACTTGATAAGAAGTTGATAAGCTTCATGTAGAGTTTGTTGGTCTTGTCTTCGGGTCTTCTTTTCATCTACAAATACAGGGTTATCCACAAAGGATGAGACTTTAGGGAAAACTGTACAAAATTTACAATTTCTGTTTCTTTCTATGTACTATTCTCTGCAACCCCGTCAGGACATTTGGAGGAAAATGTACGCTAGATTCTGACGTGTGTATTTTGCTTAGTCAACTACACTGATTATTGTTATTAGTTGCAGTACGTGGAAAAGGGATATGAAAATAAACCAACATTTCGTGGGGGGGGGGGGGGGGTGGTTTTATTCATGGTCTAAATTTGGGTTATAAAATGAATTGTAACTTTTTCTTCACCTTAATTGTATACATGATAAAATGGTAAATGAGCATTGAAAACTTCTTTTAAATATACAGTGCTCCTCAAAATAATATGGTAAGCAAAGACAACTTCTCTTAAATATTCAGTGCTCCCCAAAGTTATTTAGTAAATGATGACTACTTTTCATAAACATATAGTGCTCCCCAAAATAATATGGTATTGCATAGATGACTGCTTATAAATATACAATGCTCTCCAAAATAAATCTTCTTTTCTCACTTTCTCTTTCTTCCTTTCTTTCTCTTCTTATTTCTTCCTTCCATTTACATTAACATACAGTACTAAAATGGTGAAGTGAAGACGAATTTTCTTTAAAATGCAATCTTTTTTTTAAGAAGCACTGTATATTTAGGAAAAGTGATCATCATTTACAATATTATTTTGGGAAACACTGTATATTTATGAGCAGTCGTCTATGCTTACCATATTATTTTGGGGAGCACTGTATATTTATGGAAAGTAGTTGTCTTTATTTACCATTTTATCAAGTAAGGTGAAAAAAGCTACAATTCTTTTATACCCCAAATAGACCATGAATATCCCCCCCTCCCCCCACCCCCACGAAATGTTAGTTTATTTTCATATCCCTTTTCCACGTACTGCAACTAATAACAATGATCAGTGACTAAGCAAAATACACACGTCAGAATCTAGCGTACATTTTCCTCCAAATGTCCTGACGGGGCAACCGTAAACTTTTATCATCCTTTTCCAACTCATTAAATAAGCCATTAAAAACCATATTTAAGACTGAAGAACCTATTAAATCTTGGGATTGTCATTTTCTTTGATTTCAGGTCGTCTTTACAGTCTTATTTATTGTGGGACTTTATCATAATTTTCCAAATGCTTTCAGGCAAAAATATATTAGAATTTTCTAAATCGGAATGCAACCCTTGAAAGTCGACCAGAGACTTTAAAGAATATATACCGTGTCACTGATCCGCCAAAAACCGGTTCCAATTGAGCGCCGGCTCAAATCGCGAAACACAATTAATACAATTTTAAGTGGAACCAACCATATTTGAACCGCGTCTTATATTTGAGCCGCGCTAAAACTCTTTAAATTTGGCCTCCTATCTTGTAAATTGTTGCATATTTTTCAAAACTCTCTTTATCTCTGCAAATATTCAATAAATTATCTGTATTCAGATATTCAGATATTCAGATATTTGATATTTGCATTTATTTAAATCTCAATCAAATGCCTTGAGTTGAAGCTTACAAGGAACTTGTTTTATGACACCAAATATTTGTTTAACTAAATTATTTAATAAGAAAAAATAAATAAAAGGTGGATCCCTTATATTATATTTGCCTCAAACAATAAATTGCAGAGGCAAGGGAAGCGGTGTGGGGGTTAAATTTGTTAAACAACTCAAAATGTATAGGTTTGAGAAATCGATCTCTAATCCTGTTTTGACACTTTATGTCACTTTTGGGTAATTTACCAGATTCCGCACTAAACTCCCCCTGTAATAATATTTTTTTTTAAATCGTTGTAATAAACATATTTTTACTTTTTAACATAATCATTTATTTGTCCAACTCCATTATTAATAAAACATGATTGCTTTATTTAAACATTTTTATTTCGTTTCTAAATCCAAAAGTAAAACAGGATTTTTTAAAAACTAAGAATTTAAAGTTTCAAATAATTTACTAGTTGAGTAAAGCTGACAAGGGAATAAAATTGCTCCAATAAAGTTGTCAAATTATCCTAAAGTTTTATTAAAAATAACAAATTACGAATAGGAATTTATTATTTCGTGGATTTTGGAAATTTGAATTAGTTCAAAAATCTAAAATTTGATATTAAACGTTTTTTTTCCAGGGTCAACATATCGCATGACAACTTTTGGGGCTGATCAGTTTAGCTGTTTTAGATATACAAACATAAAAGCCAAATATATATACAAAGATGTTTAGATGCATTTTTAGATTTGTTTTTACTTTCCTTTTGAACATTCTATATTTAAATAATTCTCAAAACTTTAACTCTAACAATTTAGTTTGTATTGCATTTTATAAAATCCATACACAATTCCACAGAAAACTTTTAAACTTTTCTAAGGTATATTAACACAATTTTTTTAAATCTTAAAACACTAAAAATATGAAAGTTTTACATTTTGTAAAATTAAATTTACAATTCTCTACAAGAGAAAATGTTCTTAGAAAATTTAAAACTTACGTTTTTTCAAATCACAAGCTTGCTGCATAACGGACTCGTGCATACTGGTAACAAAAGCAGTATCTATGTCCGACCTAAAAATTGAAATCTATAAATCAAACGTGACGCTTTCGTCACGTGAATGACAGCTGCGAGATCTTACATAGGCCCAATGAAAATAAAACCGACCTTGGTCGGTTTTAGTGGAGAAAAAGACTCAATGTTGAATTGTGTTCTCATCTAAAACCCGGAATGCGCCAATTGCAACAATGAAAATCCGTCTAATACAATAATAATAAACCGGTGGCCGAATTTAATGAATCTGAGCGGCGGTTTAAATTTAAGCCGCGGCTTAAATATGGTTGGTTCCACTTTAAATTGTATCAAATGTTTCAAGATTTAAGCCGGCGCTAAATTTAAACCGGGTTTTGGCGGATTTTGGCGGATTTAAACCGCGGCTCAAATTCTTTAAATTCCATCTCGGTTTTATGAACTCAACTCTGTGGAAAATTAGATGCAACTTAAATCCAAAAGGGCCCAAGCCGTAAATAAGGCCCAACGACAGCTTAGATCTGAGTCTTATTTTCCTAATTACTTTTTATTCGCGAGCCACAGAAATCTAAAGGTTGCAAATTTTCGCGCAAAAATCTGTTTTGCCAATAACTTCTTTTTAACTAAAGTGCAACAATTGTTGTACAAGACAGTTAGAAAGGTTAAAAATCAAAGTCCAAGGAATTGCGACACCTTAATGTTGATCCAGTCGTGAAGCAACCTTTTACAGCAGCTCGATCTACAGGGTTAAGCAGAAATTATGAGACTGCAAAGACGACCTGAAATTCTTAAATTGTGTTGATTCCAATATTGAATTAAACTGCCTTGAATAAAGTCGCTAATTTGGTTATTTAATGTTTACAGATGTAGGAAACAACCAAACAGACAATATAGAATCCGTACAGTCGTCTCTGAAGTCTCATCCTTTGTAAGTAACCCTGTATGTGGATCGAGTGTATACTGTAAAAGAGGAACCTGTATAATTTGATCAATATGTTGTTTGTTTGAATAATTTTATTACTAGTTTCATTTTCCTGAATTATTTGTGTAAAAACTTTAATGATTTCCTTACTGCTTTTATACGAAATAAAATAAAACCATTTTTTTCGGGGGACCCTGGCGGTGCTTACCCTTGTAATACAAACCTTTGTATACTTCTCATGTTCTTACTCCCAATAGATATTCCAAGTTGTGTCAAAGCTGTTGTTCTGTAAATATCAAACATAGATTAATTAAAATACCAGATAGGACACTAAATGTCGTCTTTTCAAGATATATGTGTTTTCGTTCATAATAACCCTGAGGCAGAGGCCCTAAGGCGTTACTCGTAGTTGGCGTAGAACAGGCTCTCACTCTGTCTGTTCAACGTTTAAACCTTTGATAGTTCAAATTTTGACCATATTTTTCACATGTTGGAAATATGAAAGACTGCATGCAAAGACTTATCAGGTTGGAAATATCAAAGACTGCATGCAAAGACCCATCAGGTTAAAAATATCAATGACGGCATGCAAAGATGCATCGAGTTGTAAATATCAAAGACTGCATGCAAAGATACATCAGGTTGAAAATATCAAAGACGGCATGCACAGATCCATTAGGTTGGAAATATCAAAGACGCCATGCAACGATTCATCAGGTTGTTAATATAAAATAATGTTTTATAAAGCTTACTTTGGATCCATCCCTCCCTTCTCCTTGACCCCCCTTTTGGGCATAATGGTCTGATACGGCATGTTGAAAGTTGTAGCTTGAATTTTTTAACACCAAATGTGTTTCATTTTCATCTTAAAGGAACATTTTTTTAAGGTAACTCAAATTATCGAATACTAGCTGAAGTGCCGGGCGTTGGCCGTGGATAAAAAAAATCCAATTTAAAAAAAAATTAAGATTATAAAAAAATTTTAATTAAATTTTAGCTTATGTTATATAAGTCACGTTTTATTTCATTTTATTTAAATTTGTTTTAAAAACTTAAAAAAAGTCGCAATAAATAAAAATTATTTTAAAAAAATAATTGTAATATCGAATTGAAGCATAAAGGAAACGTATAGAAAATCTGAAATTATTGTATTTGCTAATGCTAAATCATTTTGATTGTTTTTACATTCTTATATTGAACTTTTTGCAAAATGTTTGCTATTTGTTTACAACTTTTGTTTTAACAGCTGAACTTTTTATTAGAGTTGAGAAAACATATAGCAAAAAAACATTTGGAAATAGCTTCGTTTCAAAAGTTTAGTTTTTTGTTGTTTTCTTTCATTTCATTTTCTTAGATTTCAAGCAAAAATCGATGAGAATTTTGCTCATTACGCCTTAAAAACAAAGCTAACAATAAGTGCTATATAGTGCTAAAATGTACATGTAAAGAGCTACAGAAAATCAAACGTGAGTTAGAGCGGTAAAATTTAAGTTCAAGCTAGCTGCGTGTAGCTGCGTGGCGACACTTCAAAGTCGACACTGTTTCAAAAATTGATGAGAATGTTTATCAGCAAGCTAAATATATGTGGTACACTGTAGGAGCATTTTCTAAATTAACCTTTGTCCTTTAAATTTAATTTCATGGATGTCTCACATTCAAGTTCAAGGATATATTTGTAATTTTAAAGAATTGTAGAGGAAATTTTAAGTGACCCTTATTATTGACATGTAAGATTCACATTGATACCATTAAATCTTTATCTAGGTAAACAATTTATAATTGAGAAGATGTCGTCGTTATTCTTTCTTGAAGCGAGTTCAATTCTGACAGATTTTTTCATTGTCTGCACCATGAATCCGCAATGAACTATTTATTTAGAAAATATTTGAAAATAATCAACATTAAAATGGGATTTTTAATACCAGAGTTCGTATACTTATTAGAATTATACTCTTCATAAGACATTTTTAAACATTGGTAAAGATCGGGCTGAAAACCCCAGATGTGGGTAAGACTTGAAACTCAAACCTACATTTAGGAGCCTTAAGCCATCCCTCATAACATGATTTGATTTGTAAATCGAAATGCCATTCAATAATTTACAAATAAAATGATTTCCTTTTAAGTATGCAAAACTGTCATTTATTTGATACAATTATAAATAAGTAAAATTTTTATTTCAACTGCATTTCTACAATTATGTTCTCCGTAGATGACTTTTTCAAATAAAACAAAATTACATTTTTGCCTTAAATTTTATATTTTTGGTCAGACAGAACATTTTTAAACGGCCTTTTCACGCTTAATTTTGCTTATTACATCTATTACATCTAATTTTCTTGATATAAATATTTAACTTAATCAAATAAAATGTTGACAAATTATTTTGAATTGGTATACAATTAGTACAACTGAAATTCTTTTTCAAGCTTGGCAATTTAAATTTACATTAAAGTTTGCCAAACTTGCTATTTACAAAAACCGATATTTTCACACTAAAGTTGATTTGTCCGTCATTTCCACCTGCAAACTTGAGTCCCACGCTATTTTCTGAGGCCCATGAATTAGAAACTGTGGATTTAAAAAGAATGAACAATGGGAAAAACATTACGACGGCCCTGCCTCAAAAGTATTTAAATCATTTTTTTTCTTAATTTCCGATTTTTTTCAGGTCCCCGTAAATAAAAATAAAAAACTTTGAACAGTTTTTAAAAAAATACAAAATTTTGCAAATAAACGATTAAATCAAATGATTTAATGTTACTGAATTCTTTGTAAATGCCAACTGAAGTTTAGACTAGTATTAAAAAGTACGAAGTTTCCGTTTTAAATTAAGTTTGTCAAAAATTGGACAATGAAATTGAGTTTTTGCCGCAAATTCAAATTTTCGAATCCCTATTTTTTTCCAACCTGATGGTTAGTAAACCTTTGGTATTTTAAACTTAGACTTTTTAAGATAACAGAAATAATGATTTAAAATGTCTAAGGTCTACAATATAGGTTGCAAAGAAATAAGGATTAGAAAATCAGAGTTTGTGGCAGGAAACCCAATTCTTATAAAATACGTTTAGTTAAAAACTAATAATTATCGTATTTTTTTCTGAATTCAATTCAAAATAAAAGTCTTGTTTTCAGTCGGACGGTCTGAAGTAGACTAAAGTTATACGAAAAAATTCCCTCCATGTTATTATTAGATTCCCCCACCCCCCGCCTTTAGATTTCCCTTGTTCCTTGTTTTCATTTATTCGAAATAGAAAACTACAACTAATTTAGACTTTATGAGGATTTCAGAACTAAAGGGATTGGTCACTTTAATATTAAGAAAACAGAGAACAATTTGATAAATCTCTTATAAACACAAAATTTCTTTTGTTAATATCAAGAAAAAAATATATATTAAATTATAGAGGTAATTTTATTCTCTAATTCCTATTTATTTGCAACCGTTAATATTTGGAAACTTTGATATTTGCAACCTTTGATATTTGCAAACTTTGATATTTGCAAAATTTTGATATTTGCAAACTTTATTATTTGCAAACTTTGATATTTGCAACCCTTGATGTTTGCAACCTTTGATATTTGCAAACTTTGATATTTCGTCAAACTAAATAATAGAGATGTCAACGATAGTGTAACGTAACGTAAAATGTACGTTTTTGTACGTTACATTACAATAATGTGTAACGTTTGGATACATTCTATATAACGTGAACGTTAAACGTTAACGTTATAGGAGCTCATACCTAACGTTAACGTTAAACGTTAACGTTAGAGGAGTATACCCCCAACGTTAGCGTTTTGTGGAAATGTAACGTTATTTTTTCTAATATCTACAACTTTTTTGACCATAACGTAAAGAAATGTTTTATTTCTAAAGGGAGCTTGAAAGTCTAATGTTTGAAAAATGAATTGTGATTTGATTGAATATCGTAACGAAAGGATTTCTATTTCAAAGTTCAACTTATAAAAAGTGTAACGCTGTATAACTGAAAAATGAATTACTGTTTATGAAAACGTTTTGAAACGTTTTCCCTTATAGTATAATGAAAAAATCAACGTTGCAGAAATTGGTTATTATTTTAATAATCAGGAAACGAAAGTTTTTTTTACAGGGAAAATTTCAATAATGTAACGTATAAATGTGTAATTCTGTAAATCAAAACTTTTCATAACTTTTCTCTGAATTCATGTTCATAAAACGTTAGACTATGAGGGCATAGTTTTAATTTCAAAAGTGTAACAATAATTCTGTCAATCAAAACATTTCAAAACGTCTCTAATATATCAATGTAAGAGATTCGACTGATGATTATAAGAGCAAAGACTTATGTTTTTCATTTCAAGTTCAAAGAAAATGAGTTTATGCCAAAAACCCTTATTTTCATTTAATATATCTTTGCAACCCGATGTCGTAGACCATTAATATCGTAATATACAAGGTTTAAACCATTGGGTTGGAAAGATATAGGGATTAGTAAATTTGAAAAAAAAACTTAGTTCCTTTCTTAAGTGTAAACTAGTTTTTTTGTAACATGCTATTAGTAAAAATTCAAATCTTATAAATGTTTCTTGAACATCTTGTTTGATGAATCCCACTAAAACTCTGGAAAAGGAAGACGACATTAAGAAATTTTACATATGCATTTTCTGTTATAAAGCAAATGATTTACTAATTGTAAAAAAATCAACTTAAGTGGAACGGGTCTGTGAACAAACACAATTGCTGGGTTTCGTATTTATTTGACTACTTGAACTCAAAACTTCAGTTGGCATGGTTCATGTTTTAGGTTGAAAAATTTAGAAATGTAGATACTTACTAAAATGCAACAATATTCTATCAATTGGAAAATGCAATTATGTTTTATTCATCAATATATTTTTATGAAACTTTAGAATAGAAAAAACTGATTTTTTAATCGATTTTTTTAAAAAGAAAAAAAATGTTAAATAATTTTATTTCGCGTTGTTCATGTTAAAACAAAATTTAGCACTTGTCTTACTATATTTGATTTTTTAACCCCAAACATGAACTCTGAAAACATTTTCATTGTGGTCTGTAAACTAAAGCTAATGCCGCTTTTTTACTCACTTTGTAACAAAAAAAAACACAAAAAGAACTAAAAATTAGCCACAAATTATAATTTTCTAATCTCTACATCTTTGCAAGCTGGTGTTGTAGACTTTTGATATTTCAAGCTATGACTTCTGTTAGATAAGAATATCTAAAGGAATTGAGTTGTTCACAAACTTATATTTCTAATCCCGATATCTTTGCTACCCAATGTTGTAGACCTTAGATATAGAACATTTTTTCAAATCTTTCTTAGAAACGAAACGAATAAACAGTTTTGATTGTCAGTTGTAAAAAAGTGTAACAAAAAAGTTTTCACCATAACGTTTCGATAAATTGTAACGTGCATATTAGTAAAATTTCTAAACGTAATAAAAAGAGTTTATATTGGAAAAGTTAAGATAAAACGTAACGTTAACAAAAAATATTCTTTGCACTTAAATGCATTGTAACGTACAGAACTATGCCCCAATGACGTTTTATTAAAGCAAAACGTTTGTCATCTTTTAGATCTTAAACCAAGTGAAAGTGTCACGCAACGTTGGGAAAGTTTTTTAAAACGGGAAATGCAAAAGCGTAACGGAGCTTACTGTTTTTTCACAACATTTACTAAAGCTTAAAGTATAAGGTATTCAAGTGCAGAAAATTCATTACGTAACGTTACTCTGTGCAATAAAATTTCATAATGTGCAACGTAACGTTTTAAACGTTTATACTTTTAATGAGCACTATCGTAACGAAAGCTAAAATCTAGAAAAATCAAAACGTTGACATCTCTACTAAATAATGCATAGGGTAGCAAATATATAGGGAATAGAAAATCAGATTTTGTGGATTTTAATTAATTTTCATCTTTCAGTTTCAACATTTTTGAGGTTCAATAATTTTCATGGATTTTTATATTCTTTGATTTTTTATTTTTTTACAAAAATCGTTCAAAATTTTGCCAAAAAGAGAAAGCTTAGAAAATATTGAAGAAAAATAAAAGTCGATTTTTTTAACCAATTTGGTCCAGCCGTTTGGCCAGCTATAGCTGACATATATGTAAATACGTGTATATTTGAGGGAAAAGCTGAATTATATAGATAAAGGTAAAAGTTCTAGAATAAGTAAACATTATATTTTACCACTATATTATACTATAAGGGAAATTATTTGAATACAGAAAAGACTGCATTATTAGTGATTTACTATTTTTAATTTACTTTTATTATTGACTAGCGAGTTGTATATTTGTATTGTTTTTTTATTGTTTTTCTTTTTTTAAGAAAAAAGGCACACATATTTTCCTTATATTGTAGATTATTTTAACTTGTGTAAAATTCTTTTTTTCCATTTTTAACTTTAATCTTGAACATTCTTTTCTTTAGGGATCTTTCAATAAAGTTATTTCTTTTATTAAGAACATAGTTTAAAGAATTTATTAGTTAAATATAATTTTAAATACATTGACATGTTTGTATATTTAATGAAATTATGTGTGGGATTGCTTAAAATACAGATGATGGTTTTCCTCTGGTCGAATTTTCTTGTTATACAGGTTGACTAAAATATATATTCTCTAAAATTTTTAAATTTTTTATTTAATTTTAAAAGAGCTTAATTATAGCAATTTCCTCCATTGCATGTTTCTGAATCAGAAACCCGCAATTCCCCTTTTTAGAAAAAATCTAAATTAACCCTATCCCCGCTGGGGTACTTGAAAACCAGGATACGCTGGGGGGGGGTCAATTTGACCCCCCCTCTAAATCCCATGTTTTATGTCCAAATATGACAAATGATACATCATTAGAAAGCTCTTGTGCTCTACTTTTAGAATCTGCAAAAAAATTTGCAAATTTGCGAAAATTGAATTTTTTATCGCAAAATCCAGTTTTATAGTAAAAATGTTTGCAAAAAATAATTTGTCCAAAAAATGACAAATTATACATTTTTGAAAAGCCCTTGACCATGCCATTTCAAATGTGCAAAAATGTTTGCAAAATTTTAAATAACCTGATTTTTAATCAAGAAAAACTAAAAATGTGCAAATTTCCTTTGACAGGTTGTTTGCAAAAAATTTGCAATTTTTTTTCGCAAAACTTGTGCAATCCGTTTCCTTATGTCATAGGCTTTCCAAAAAGCTAAATTTTATCAAAATCTGACAAGTGAAAGTGGGTCAAAACAAAGATTTAGTTTGCTACAGGCAAAAGCAGTCATTCAGGCAGTGTGCCTGAGGACTCAGGCAGTTAGTATTAAAGCCCGGTTTTAGGCCTAAAGGGAGGGCTTTGGGTATGTAAGAAAAGTCAGAAAATTTCAACAGCCTCAGACCAATACTTTTTGAGTTATGTAAAAAAAACTACAGGGGGGGGTCAAATTGACCCCCCCCCCCCAGCGGGAATAGGGTTAAAATAATCAATTTTCAAGTTAAAATATGGATATCTCGTTTCTTCTTGATCATCTAACACTTGCTGATTTGCGCGGTTTTGCGCAATTTTCGCAAAACCGGAAATATTTTTTCTGCAAATGTATGAAACTAAAAAAGTTTTGCGCAAAACGTAACTTTTTAAGCAAATTGACAAAATTGAAATGTAAAGCACAGAATTAAACAACTGACTTGACAAAAAGTCAATGGTTAAAAGTACAAGTGGTCAGATAATAAGTATTTATGCCATTGTTCAGTTATTTTAATTTTTATTTTATTTCAAATACAGGGTGTCCCACGAAACATGACAGTTTTGAATGTCTTCTTCCATATACTGTATTAGATATTAAAGACTTTTCGCAGTTTAATTCGCAAAAAAAATCTTTTACTCAAATATATGTTACTTCGAAATAAATGTTTCTATAATATGACTGCTATATGATATTGTCATGTTTCGTGGGACTTAAAATTTTACCTTTTTGTACACTTTAAGTTTTCCAGGACTTTCTTAAAATCCTCTTCTCCTAAAACGTTTAAAGATAATTGACTAAAAGAATATTTAATCAAAAATAATTTACCTTTTCTTTAGAATACTAAAATATGATTTAAGAAAGATTGATAGGTTTATTGAAAACCAACTAAATATTTTTAGGTTAAACATGATTTTCTAATATCCGACAATATTGACGTTATATTCCCTGCTAAACATGATCATTATATTTCACTGTATTTAAAGGGTGGAACAAAATATGTCCTATATTTGATTGTTTAAATTGTATGCATACCTTCGAGTATCCTTGCATTTATTGAGATGTTACAGCAATACCCTGTAAATCTTTAAACAACCAAAGGCCAAATTTAAAGAATTTGAGCCACGGCTTAAATTTAAACTACATCCCGAATATTATTGGTTCCACTTAAAATCGGATTCATTGTTTCAAGAGTTAAGCTGACGCTCAATTGAAACCGGTTTTCGGCGGATTTAAGACGCAACTTACATTCATTAAATTCGCACACAAGAGATTTTATTTTCTAGCTCAAAATTATTAAGCGTTTACGCAAATTTTATCCGGCATTAGATGTTCACTGTTTTTATATCGATTAGGTATCTTTTATAAATTATAAAAAACTTACCTTCCATGGCCGTAAATGTCTGTATGGATGGGATTATACTCACTTAAACCACTCCTGAAACAAAATCTATAAAATAAAGCTCTTCGGTTATATACAGGGTGTCCCAAAAAACATGGGAATTCAGTGACGAATTCGATATCGTCTTTAAAATTTGTGTTAGCTATAGATGGTTAAAGAGCAGGACCAAATTGGCTTACTTTTTTAGAGAACACATGAAATCAATGGTAACCGTAACTGAGAATGTAGTATTGTGGAAAAATTTCTTAGGAATCATTTTAGACCTTTAAAACATTTTAATGGTGCATATTTGTTCAACAAGAGCGCAAATTCAATCTTTAAAAATCCTCATTTTTGAGGAATAATTTTGAGAATCGGTTTTTAAAAATTATTCAATAACGACAACAAAAAATGTAGTAAATTTTACGGTAAACTAATTCGTTGATTAGGAACAGGTTGAGAAAAAAAAAATTAACTATTATCATCTAAAATAAGTAATTTTATTCAGTTATTGGTTTCTGTAATGTGTCATTTCCTGGAAGTTTTATTGAAAAGTTTATGAGTATATCTTTTTTAGATTTGTTTTTAAGATAAATTCCATCATAATAAAAGTACAGAAAAAATAAGAATAAAAAAATTGATCACTGCAATTAAAAAAACTGATGTCCTAAAGTATTTTTTTTTATTTTAAAAATACTTTGCTTAAAAATATGCCTCATTAATTTTTTAAATATCAAATATATCTTTTATCGTCTGAAATATCTCTAATCCCTTATCTTAATGTTTCCAATGACCGTGTGAAATATTTGAAATAAACCCAAAAATTCTCATTTTCCGCATCTGAACTTAATTCTAACAAGTCATGATATGAAATTGCTTGTATATTTTAGTTTTAGTTTAAAAAAGACTTTCAAGCTTTTGATTAAAAAAATTATCAAACTATTTTAAAATTGATAAAGTTAAAATTAACCAAAAGATTTTTTCATTAAACAATGTAAAAAATAAAACAAGTATAGATTTTTCCCCATTTGGTGGTTACATCAAATGTGTAAAAAAGCATGAAAATACTTTTAAGATCAATGAAACCTTGAAATAAGAAATGTTAGTCATAAATAAAAAGTTTTTCTTAAAAATCCTGATTCATACATTTTATATTTAAAGAATAACATTTTGATTTATTTCTTATCCATTTATTCTCTGTCAGTTCTGTCAAGTCTTATAAGGAAAATTAAGCAATTTGCTTTGTCAGCATTTTTTAAAAGTACGTTGTCAATATATACATGTACATCTAATAAATCTATAGATACTGATGTTCATCTAAAATAATTTTTTAATAACTTGATTAAAGTAATGAATCTAAAAATTAAGAATTGCATTTTGAAAATTATAAATTTTTCCAAATTTTTGTATTTTTCTTGAAATTCTGAATTTATGAAACAGATTTCAGGATTTTAAGACAAAATTCTACATTTCCATTTTTATTCAAAATATGACAAGATTTTTTCCTATAATAAAACTGGTTTTATAAAACTAACGTTCGTTTAAACCCTTAACTGCTTTAAAAGGAAAAGGAAAATGTGCAATGTCAGCAGTTGTAGAATTGTAAAAGAGTAGTATCGTAGTAATAGTTTTTCCAGAGCCCGCGATTTAAAAAATTCTGGAAAATACGGCTCGGGTCTAAGCTGTCGCTGGACCTTATTTACGGCTTGAACTTTGGGATTCAAGCTGCATCTTATTTCCACAGAGTTGAGTTTAAAAAACCGGTTTGACATTCTATTTGGCGAATTTTCATGGTAGGAATTGGTGCATTCCGGGTTTTTATGAGAATAATTCTCAACATTGAGCCTTATTCTCTACTAAAACCAACCAAGGTTGGTTTTATTTTCATTGGGCCTAACTCCTTAAGTCGGGCCGAAGATATTGCAGCTGTCAATCACGTGACACAAGCTGTCATCAGAGTTGGGTCGAAGATTTTGCCTTAAAGTTGGGTTTAAGAAATTACCGCTCGAGTCGAAATTTTAAATTGCGAGCTCAGAGCCGGCGATTTAAAAAATTCAATAAAATACGACTCGGGTCTAAGCTGTCGTTGAGCCTTATTTACGGCTCGGGCTTTCGGATTTAAGTTGCATCTAATTTTTAACAGAGTTTAGTTCATTAAACCGGTTTAATGTTGTAGTTGGCGGATTTTCATAGTTGGAATTGGCGCATTCCGGGTTTTGATGAGAATAAGACCCAACATTGAGCCTTATTCTTCACTAAAACCAACCAAGGTCGGTTTTATTTTCATTGGGCCTAACTCCTTAAGTCGAGCCGAAGATCGTGCAACTGTCAATCACGTGACACAAGCTGTCGTTAGAGTTGGGTGGAAGATTGGGTCTTAAAGTCGGGTTTAAGGAATTACGGCTCGAGCCGAAGCTTTTAAATCGCGGGCTCAGGGATGTTTACTATCAATCATTCACTAGAGAGTTGACAGGAGAGTTAATAAATTAGGAATAGGAAAATCTGGAGATTCTTTTTTATTTAAGAACTAAATTTTGCCTTCAGCACATTGAGTACAATTTTAGCACACTGCATTACATCTATATCTATCAATCTATCTATCATACATCATATCTTTTGTTAAGAACATGAAGCGCAACACCTTGGTTTGTTTTTAAGAACTTTTAATATTTCTGGATCTTTAAAATGTTTCATGAAAACCTCAAGAATTTTGCAAATTGCAAAATCATTAATACTTCAAACACTTTACCATGATTACAACCAGCAGATTACAATCCTAAAAACAAAATCTTAAAATCCTAATCCATAATCCTAAAAATACTGAAATATTGACACAAATTCTGTTCAATTTGACTTTAGTCCTTTGAAACGATAGTCCAAAAAAAATAGTCCAAATAAATGAACAATCACTTTAGTTCAATCAATCATTAGTCTTATTGATATGACACTTGATTTTTGATCCAGAATATAAAATTTCATATATTACTTCTAAAACATGAAATTGATCTTAAAATTTTGTTAATCTGTAGATTTAAATTTTATTCAATATCCGACATGGTAATTGTACCAAGTTAAATGGTCTAAGAGAGCTTTAATCAGGGGTTGAAGAGAGCTCAATTAGGAAAAGCTGGAATTGAGATATTAAGCATTGCTCTTCAAAATAAATGTGCCCACAGTGAATACCGAGATTATGCGATCACAAAAGTTCCTAGCTCTGTTTCATTTTTAAGAGTTGATTTACAATATCTAACCTGTACAGGACAAAAATCGTCTTTGGTACAGCATAAACTTGTACTCTCTCTAACCTGTACAGAGTAAACTTGTACTCTCTAACCTGTACAGAGTAAACTTGTACTCTCTAACCTGTACAGAGTAAACTTGTACTCTCTAACCTGCCTAAAATATCTGCTCTAACCTTTCTGGAGTTTGAACAATATGTCTGGGAGGAAGGGTCCAGGCTCTCTGAGCTCTTCTCATCATATGTGAATCCGTTCTTCCTAAGTCCTAAACCAAGGAAAATCACATCCCTGCATTAAGTTAAATTAAACAATCTAGATAAACAATTTGAAAAATGGACTATTGTGATCTGTATGCATTTCAAAGATTAAGCAGGAACTGAGTTTAAACTTGGCAGATTATCTAAACACTATTTACAGAAGGGGTTAGAGCTAGAACATACAGTCAATCCCCCATACCATCTTGTGGGGTTAACATACTTTTAAATTCGGCCATTTTTTATTATTTACAACAAAATATACAATACGAATAGTTGTGCTAATTATGCTTTAAGGAAGTTCCAAAATATTTGGCTCTTTTTTTCATTGGTTAGAGCTCATCCCTAATTAGACCTGGCTCAATCCAAACCAGTCTGTGCAAGTGTGGGTGTAAATGTACCTCTGTAAGATCAGGATAGTACTGTGGAAGAATGTCATGAACTCCCGGATACCAAGTTGTATCTCGTACATAATCACGGGCACATAGATCTTGCTCACCTAAAATAAATTTGTCCATCATCCATGCATCTCAAATTTCAATTTACACATGGACTACATAGTGATGCTCAAAGCTAAGGGATAAAAAGTTATTGACTATAGTTAAAAAGAACGATTTAAAGATCGTTTTTCAACGGTCTGAATGGTCAAAAAAATATTCACTCATTCATTTTGCAAAAATAATTTTTTTTTTCTCTGAATGATCCAATTCATTTGTCCCTTGTTAAATAATTTTTCTGAACGAGATAATTGTTTACAAAAAATGTTGTCAATTTTTAAATATCTTGTTTATTTACAAAACGATGCTTATCTCTAGTTAAATCAATGCTAATGTATGCGAAAACAGCCAGAAATGCAAAATTCACAAACTATAACTCACTAGCTTGGGAACCCAGCGCTGCCAAGGTTACTAAAAGTTTCTCCTGCCGTTTACCCGCATTTGAACGATTTTACTGGGAAACTAAATTTTCACTTTTAAGGTCGACCTACTCATCTTAGAATCTCAAAACCAAACTAAAAACATTCCCGTGGGTCTTCCGAGTTCCCAAACCAAAATTTAAGGCAAATCTGTCCAGGGGTTCCTGAGTTATGATCGGACAAACAAACAGACAAACAGAGTTTACAACTTTATATATAAAGCTACTTTAACATCAATAGCAGTGAAGAAACTTTTTATATTATAAACACTGCTAGCACTTGCATTAGTTTGATATGAATAATTATACAATAATAAAATTGCTACAACAAAATGTATACGGAAAAATTATCTATACAATTTACTAATGCAGGTAAGGGGTATGTTAAGACTAGTGCCAAATCTATCTTATCAATGATGAAGCGTCACATTTCAATGTCCACCATCGTAGAGATAAATCAAATTTATTTATGTCGTTTAATGTATTCGGGTAGATTGGCAACGAAACTGTATTCAGATAAATGATTGGCTTGACATGTTATATCATTAATTGATAACATATAAATGACGAGTCAGCATCTCCAGCGGCAATGTTAATCCTTTGTTTAACACATCTATCCAATTCATCATATTCACCACACAGATCAATAAAGTTTTGGGTATTTTCTGCTATACAGTCATAAAAAAATAACAATTTTTTCTCCCTTCTTTTTTACTTTTCCCAGCATTTTTTATCTTATTGCTTTAGCTGAAAAGAAAAATATTGATTTCCTTAAAAATAAACAATAAACTGAACACGGGCAGTCTTAGTACATTTGAATTTCCGAGCCGGGTCAACCTTTCTGGTCCCGGTTTGTACTGTATCGCCTGGACATTGGGTAAATAAAGCAGAAACTCAATAGGACCAGCCGTTGCAACAAGGTTGACGCGGTCAGACTTTAGGTTGAATTTACTTTTATTAAAGAGTCAGAGGTGCGTGAGAAATCCAAAAAATTAATTTCTAATGTAGTTTTATCATTGCTTTTGGTGAAAATATATTTCCAAGTTTAAGGGTTTTGCTAACTACACTATTGTTAGAGTCATATTACTGATCACAAAGAATACAAAGATATAAGAATTAGTAAGTTGAAATTTATGGAGAATAGTTTTATGCCAACATGCATTGGGGTTTTCTGGATTCTAAATAGATGAAATAGTTGTCAATTGTTAAAACAAACGTTTTTCTTCTTTGTAAGGCTTAACCTTTCCCCCCCCCCCTCTCTACCCCATCGCACACATTGCACAAGATTGCAACTTCCCTTTAAGGGGGTTTTAAGGGAGTGTTCGCGAAAAATGAAAGAGGGTATAGGCTAATATCTAATTGAATTCGATATCAATTGCTACTAAATTTGTGATATTTTTAAGAGTACCATTTACAGTTTGAATCCCTAAACAAATAATAGGCATGCAGCAGCAAACAATCAAAGCCTTGAGTCAAAAGCCTGAATACCTACTTGTCTAGATACACAGCATCTCAGATATCAAGGGTGTTCAGGGTTAATGAATAAAAAACACTGTCTAATTGTGATTTTGTTTATAAAAAGAAGTAAGCCAACATGGTACAGTACAATGTTCTTCATACCATAAATGATGTCGTACAAAGTAACATCCATGGGTTTGTACATAGAGAAGAGGGAAGGAGTAAACATAATTGATTTTTCTTTTGCAACCAGATCGCCTTGTAATAAAGGTACATTATTCAATCTACTGAACAATTCACCAAACTGTTAATCAATTTAACTAATTAATCAATCAGTCCAATAATTAGTTTATTGATCAATGGTACTTAAAAGGATTATACAGATTTATATGTTTTTCCAACTTTTGAACAAAGTTATGACAATATATTGAATCCCTGATATTTACATTGCAACCCTGAAACCAGGCTCGCAATGTTAGATTGCAACCCTAGAGATGCAATCTGATTAATTGCGAATTTTTCTGCCAAGAAGTTGCGGGTTTACAACTCCAAAAACATGATTAGATTTGATTTCTCAACTAAATAGATTTGATAGTTTTTATAACCTGAAAAGGACTAATTTTGATGTAAATCAAAATGTTATATTTTAATATAAGCAAAAAAATCTCAATAAAATTTCCTTAAAAATAAAAAAGAATATTAAATTGCCTTGGGTTCCCTCAACCTTGTTGGGTCCATTTGGGAGGTTCCGAAACAACTAACTAGTTTACTGTCTTCGTTATTTGTTAATTTAAAAAAAGTATCCACCCAATTGGAGGATTTTGAACTTCGACTTTGCGCTCAAACTCAGTAATTATACATCATTAAAACCTTTCACATGTCTCAAATGAATCCTAAAAAACTTTCATACAATCCGATCACTTCCTTTAAGGCTTTTTGTGCATGCGAAATATATCGTAAGATTTTACTGCAAATTGAAAAATCAATTAAAAATGATGTTTATTTGACGTTGCAAAACGATCCTGTCAAAAGAGCAGCTAAAATATTAAAACGGAAAGTTAAAATATAATTTTTTATTTTTATTTCGTTCTACACAAAACATTTGTGAGAGGGAAAAATGCACAAATCTGTCAGTAAACTGTTTTGATATTATTATATATATATAAGAAGACATACATCGGGGTTTCAACTTAATATAGTAGTAATCTCTGTTTGTCAGTTAATTTGAATGTTTGATCATAACTCACTGACCAATTTGCTTTATAATATTTATATTATATTTTTGTAAAGGAAAATTAAGATTTTGATTCGACTGATATCACTTAAAAAAAAAGAAATAATTTCTTCATCATTTGGTTACAAAGGATTTGAGTCTTTGTTACAAACTATGATTTTCTAATCTCTATATCTTTGTAATCCAATGCCGCAGAATTTTGCCAGATGAAAAAATCTAAGTTTGAAATATCAAAGGTGTACATATTTAGGTGAAAAAATGTAGGTATTAGAAAATCAGAGTTTGTTACAAAGACTCAATTCTTTTGAGTTTATGCTAAAAATATCTATCCAGAGCTAAAAACTTTAGAATGGGATGTCCTTAATCCCGATCAGTAAATTAATCTTTAGATTAATAACAAGAGGAGAACAAGCATTATTTAATCTCGAGATTAAGAAAAATAGTGAAACAAGAATTAATCCCGATATCCACCATTCAAAAGTTCCCAGCTCTGTACAAACTTTTGCTATACAATGCGTTTATAAAGTAAATACTGCAAAAAAGTGTCACAGACATAACAATGAGTACACCACATTCAATAGTACATTAAAGTAAGTATATTATACTAGAAATTCAAGGCGCTTCGCGCCATTATTTCTAGCCTTAGGGGGCGCTTCGCGCCCATCTTCTAAACATCCTGTGTTCTCTTTGTGTACATCGTAAAACAAAACAAAAATAATTCGCGGATTTTCACAAAAAATTTCGTGGATTTTCAAATTTTTCAAAAATTTAATGAAGATCGAATTTTGATGGAGACAATATTTGAAATTTTGATCATTCATAANCAGTACAGTACAGTACAGTACAGTACAGTACAGTACAGTACAGTACAGTACAGTACAGTACAGTACAGTACAGTACAGTACAGTACAGTACAGTACAGTACAGTACAGTACAGTACAGTACAGTACAGTACAGTACAGTACAGTACAGTACAGTACAGTACAGTACAGTACAGTTTTACTCTACAGAGGTTTGGTCCATCACCATCAATGAATTTCAAATCAGTACAGTACAGTACAGTACAGTACAGTACAGTACAGTACAGTACAGTACAGTACAGTACAGTACAGTATAGTACAGTACAGTTCAATACAGTACAATACAGTACAGTACAGTACAGTACAGTACAGCACAGTACAATACAATACAGTAAAATACAGTACGGTACAGTACAGTACAGTAAAATACAGTATAGTACAGTACAGTACAGTACAGTACAGTATAGTACAGTACAGTACAGTACAGTACAGTACAGTACAGTACAATACAGTACAGTACAGTACAGTATATATTACACTAAAGTAAGCAGAGAAATACAGCAACATTAATAAATTAAATCTTTTTTTAGACCGTGTTAAATCATGAGCTAAATTAGATTTAAATAATATTTTGTGACAACCCTGTATCTTAAATGCATGCATGAGATATCTATCTCTGAATCTTCAAACATTGTTTTTGCAAATATTGTTGTGTTTTTGCCAAAAAATCCCCCCCTTCTAGATATGTTCTGGATCATCACATTCAAAGATTGTAACTTTTTTACAAGATGTCCGATACAAATAAACAGAACTAAATATCTGTGAAAATTAAGATAATAACTGAAGAAATAGTTCGATCATTTAAATTGTTTTGTGTCTTTTCGGTAAAAAATATTTCCAAAAACTAAAGTCTTTGATTAGAGATGCAGTCTGCTTTTTCAATTATTACGTAAACACAACAGTTGACCTGAAAAAATAAGCCTCAGAACAAGCGATGCAGTTTCAAAGAAGTAAATTTGGTAAGAATAGGTATGAGAAATATACATCTATTTTTAGATGTTAACAATAAAAAACATTATTTAGTAAGTTTGTTTGAGGGATTTGAAAAGAAAATTGTAAAGTTTTACAGTTTTATTATAAACAATACTGCTGTGTTGTGTAAAAAATTTAGAATTTTCAATTGAGATTACGATTATTTCTTTCCAAGTTGAAAATTCTACAATTCTACAATCTCCAAACATCTTTTCATTGTTGAAATAGATCCGAATTTATCAAAATGGACCAAAGACAGATCAATCAATCTTTCGGATACTTTATGAGTTTTGGCTGAAAACACCACATTAAAGAGACTGCATGTGTAATTTCAAGTGACCTTCCAACGCAAATATAGCAATGCCCAATTTGGATTGAAAATTTGGTTTCCTTGAAAGCTTCGTCTGATAAAGTGTAAATTATAATCAATGTTTATAATTTTGAAAACTGATTATTTTCAATTGTGGTTTCTCTATAAAAGTGATTTGAGCATTTCTACAATAAAAAACATAAAATTCTAGAATAAAAAGACGACCTTTAGACTTAAGTTATGACTTTTAATAGTCCTTTGAATATATGAGACATAGCAGTTGTGCAGAGTAAACAGGCTCATTTAGTTGATAAGTAGTTATCAACTAAATTAAAACTATTTGCTTTTTAACACCATAAATTAAAATTATCCCTATAAAGGTTGGGGTCTGAATCTATGTATAGCCTGGGGGGGGGGGCGTTTGTCACCTTAGAGAATGCATGTTCTTAGCCAAATTTTTCATAGCCAGCTCAAAGAAAAAATTAGACGGATAACTTTTTTAGTTTGAGTGCTAGGGAGGGTGTAAAGAAAATGCCTAAAAAAGGGAAAAAATTAACAAAAATTTTTTTTTTGTTTTGAACAAATATCAAAGTGTGACACATGTTTCTACAGTTTAGTTAAAAAAGTTATGGGCTATTTTAGATTTTCTTTTTCTACATTCCGAATTTTTTTCCATCCTGTACCTTAACATATAAATTAGAAAAAAATATTTTTTTACAAAAAATCACTATTCATTTTAAAATTCACGGAGATAATGCGTATGGTTTATCTCCAGGGAAAGATCTTAATCTTCCAGGGATAAGAAAAACAGTTTTACCAAGGACATCCAAAGAATTTACATATAATTGATAATGGAATGTTGCAGGTATAATTTAGTTTTTTTTTAATTAAATAATTATATGGGACTCTTTAAAACCTTTATCGCATATTTTATTGCTATTTATTTGTTTTTACAATTATCAAGATATAGGTGTAGCAGTAGATCAAGCAGTCCAAAATTTGTAAGCAACATTCATGACTCCATAGATAGTGCATGCCCGCCAAAGATGAAAAATTTTGCCAAAAAAATGACGTCATTATTTATTTTTGAAAATGCGGAAAAATCTGCTAAAATTTGTGACCGATTAAAATTGGCGAATTTCAGAGCAAAAGAAAAAATATAAAACTGTTTGATATAAAGCCACAGTAAATAACTGAATAAAATGAAGGATGAAAAAACAGTAAAGAAAAAATAGACAAAGGCATGATACATTGAAAAAGATTTAAAATTTTAAATTTTAGATAATGTAAAATGATAAAATGTTTATACTTTAATTAAATGATCATTTTTATATTTTATAAAATAATTCAATTATAACAATTTTAGTAATTTTTTCTATAATTTTCAAAAGTTTTCTTCTCTTAATGTTGCTAAAGTAAACTTTAAAAAATGGAGAATTCTTAGCTTTATTAAAATCAATGTATTCCAGTATGTAATGTATTTTTTTGGTACTTAAAAACCAGGATACGCTAGGGGAGGATCAAATTCCCCCCCCCCCTAAATCCAATGTTTGATGTCCAAATATCAGAAATGATACATCAATGCAAATCTCTTATATGCTCTACTTTTAGAATATGCAAAAAAAAATAGTAAATTAGCAAAAATAGATTTTTTTTCAAAGGTAATACAAAGGTAATCTACATATAAATTTGGCTTGTCTGTCTGTTTGTTTGTATCCAATAAACGTTAAAACGGCTGAACCGATCGGGCCCAAATTTTTTGTGGGACATCACGTGACCACAGGGAAGGTTTACGAACGATAAAAATTTTAAAAAAATGTGTTTAAAGTTTTTAATTGTAAAAAAAATTTAAATTCTTGAAAATCCGCGAATTTATTTTTAAAAATCCGCGAAATTTTTTTCTTTGTTTTAAAATGTTAACAAAAAGGACATGTTCACAATTTAAATAGAAGATGTGCGCGAAGCGCCCTAAAAGCCTAGTATAGTAAAAATGTTTGCAAAAAATGTCCAAAAAGTAATAAAACATACATTTTTGAAAAGCCCTTGACCATGCCATTTCAAACATGCAAAATTGTTGCAAAATTTTATAAACCTGATGTGTATTTAAGAAAACTTAAAAATTGCAAATTTTACTTGACGGGTTGTATGCAAATAATTTGCAAAAATTATTAAAATATGACAATTATAAGTGAGTCAAAACAAAGATTTAGTTTGCTACAGGAAAACGTAGTCATTCAGGCAGTGTGCCTGCCTGAGGACTCAGGCAATTATTATAAAAGACCTAAAGGGAGGGCTATGAGTATATAGGAAAAGTCAAACAATTTCAACAGCCTTAGACTGCAATACTTTTTGAGTCATGTAAAATAACTACAAGGGGGATTTGACCCCCTCCCCCCCCACCAGGAAAAGGTTTATATATCCCAAACCATTTGAAAAAGCTAATAACGAGTTCCAACATTAAAACTGAAAAATGCAACTTAAAAAACGTTACCTTTTAAGGAGCTGACGAAGTCCGACCAGAATCGGGCTTTCTGGGTCAATGGAATATTTGAAGTGTAGATGTCAAGGGTTCGGGAGGCCATTCTAGAATCAACCATTTTTTTAGTTGATAACTTAAATATAAAATAAAAGTAACCCTCCATTGCAAAAATAACAATGTATTATCAAGAATTAGAATTTATTTTACAATTTTTAAAAACAGATTTTTTTCAATTGATCAAATATTTGATCAAATAAAGATTTCCAGGGAACCCTTGTGATTCGGAAATTGCCGTCTTTGCATCGAGGGTTACTTCAAATTACGCTTACAGTCCCATTAAATCAAATTATTGAAAGAGGTCCAAGAAGTGCCTTTACAGCGTTAAAAACCCAAGTTTCATGATTTCAGATAAAAAACCGCAATTTTGACCGTATTAAAGTTTAGGACCTTTTTTAGAATGAATTGTTGTAATTATTTGATTATTAGTAATTGTATACTAAAGGTAATAGATCAAATTAAACATGTTTACAATTTACTAATGAACCAATTTTCAAATTTTTAATTAAAAAATAATGATATCTACAGAAGATCTGCATAAGTATATAGATACCTGTTCTGTATACAGCCTATATGCAACTGAACTGATGAAGTACAAGCTTTGATATTTATACTTTTTCAGATCTCACTTTTTCTGGGCAAGCGCCAAATATTATACTATATTGCATGTTTGTGAAGCATAATAAAATATTAACTCTGCTATAATATGTTTGAAATAGAATATGCAAACTTCTGGACTTTTCAAATCATAATTTGAATTAAGTCCTTGCCACAAACCAAAAAATTTAATCTCTATATCTTTGCAGCCTGATGGTATAAACATTTGATATTTTAAACTTAGATTATCTGATCTAACCGAATTAATAACTTGACAGATCTATGCTGAACAAATCTGGCTTGCACAGATAAAGGGATTAGATAATCAGAGTTTGTAGCAATAAAAAAATAAGGACGGTCAAACAAAGTATAAATATTTTCTGTTATACCTTTTAATTTTTTTAAAACCCCCAGGAAGCTGACCTTGAAAAGTTTGAATATGGGCATGTAAACAGACATTTAATAAAGAAAACACGAGCTAAAGAAATAAAGCTTGAAGGGAGTGTTCGAGAAAATTAAGTGGTATAGGTTTATACCTATACCACTCTACACACTAAATCCGAATAAAAACCCACAAAACGTAAGTCTATTTCACATGGATGAACTAGTTCTAGATCTAGAACCTGACTGCTTTAAAAAGTTTCATCAATTCTCAAGACGGGCTTAACACTTAGCAACACCCTTTTACCTGACTGGCTTTTTTGTAGCCCTGAAAATATACATTTTAAAATCATAAAGAATGTGTTTTAGCTTTAGTTTTTAGGAAGTAATTGGAAAAACTCTTATCGTTTTTCGCATGGAAACATACAACTGGATCACTGTGTTTAGGTATGTTTTAAATGTGAATCATGTGAGCATATTAAACTTTAACAATGAGCTAAATAAGTGCCACTGTTCAATGTAAGCTAAATTTAACTTTTTTTTCTTTCTCATCACTTTTCACTTTTTAAATTCTTTGATAATGGTTGTTCTCATTTGTACGTCTTCAAGTTTACATAAATTCCCTTTTTCATAAATGTAGAATATTTGATAGATATCCTTGTACATCTTTATCACAAACAACTTCCATAACTAACAAGACATAGATGTTAAATCTAGTCAAAGTAAGTTGAACTACTGAACTCCGTGATGAATTTGGAACAAGAAAGTAAATAAAGATATAGATGCATACTCTAACTAAAATAAACAAAGTAAGAAGACTCGATGTGCGTAAAAGTAATTTCATTAGAACGTTAGGAATATGAGTGGCAATGTTTGGGGAAGGTTTGATTTGATTAATAATTACACTAATGTCTACATGTGACACATTTTCTACCGGATGTCCCATTGTAAGATTTATTTCTGTTTGATAGGAAGCGGATTGTAAAGAAAACCTTCTATGATTTAATTTCTTGGTGTTTACGGGCATCATGAGGAAACCGAGCTACAGGGAAATCTGCTAAGGAGAGGAAACCGAGCTACAGGGAAATCTACTAAGGAGAGGAAACCAAGCTAAAGGGAAATCTACTAAGGAGAGGAAACTGAGCTACAGGGAAATATACTAAGGAGAGGAAACTGAGCTACAGGGAAATCTACTTAGGAGGAGAGGAAACCGAGCTACAGGGAAATCTACTAAGGAGAGGAAACCTAGCTACAGGGAAATCTACTAAGGAGAGGAAACCGAGCTACAGGGAAATCTACTAAGGAGGAGACGAAACCGAGCTACAGGGAAATCTACTAAGGAGAGGAAACCTAGCTACAGGGAAATCTACTAAGGAGAGGAAACCGAGCTACAGGGAAATCTACTAAGGAGGAGACGAAACCGAGCTACAGGGAAATCTACTAAGGAGAGGAAACCGAGCTACAGGGAAATCTACTAAGGATAGGAAACCAAGCTACAGGGAAATCTACTTAGGAGAGGAAACCGAGCTACAGGGACATCTACTTAGGAGGAGAGGAAACCGAGCTACAGGGAAATCTACTAAGGAGAGGAAACCGAGCTACAGGGAAATCTACTTAGGAGAGGAAACCGAGCTTCAGGTAAATCTACTAAGCAGAGGAAACCGAGCTACAGGGAAACTTATCAGCGAGTGGAAACCGAACAACAAGGTTTCTGAACCAACTATACATAGTAATTTTTAGGAAAATATTTTTATTTAGCATGGATATGCGCTTTTATGGAGTTAACCCGATTAGATTATTTTCGATTTACGGTTCTCAACCAAAGTGAATTGCGCACTACTACTCCAGGAAATCATTGTAGGAATTATCAGTATTAAACACTTTCCAAAATATAAAGAGCGAATGGCGGGTTCTTCCTTTCTAAATTAAATACAATTTCACAGTTTTTTCTTTGTTTGAAGTAAGTTACCAGGTGCGCCACAAATCATGGGAGAATCCGATCGTCTTTAAGCAATGCGGCATTTTTTTCATAAAAATACAATTATAGAAAATTTCAAGCCAGCAACAAAACTCTTAGTTGGGATTTACAAAATGATGTCTGCTTTTTTCATATTCCATGGACAAAGATAAGATGTTTTAAATGAAATAGAAAATTGAATTTAATTTCTTTATCAATGTTTATACCTACTTCAATTTTAGAAGAAAAAACTTAACGGCTAACCACGTATTTGAATTAAATTGCACTGATTTTAATCCTCTGATGTAATATCAACGGGTCAATAATAATTTTTTATTTATAGATTTTTAACTTCCTGCATTACGATTCAAGAACTGGCAGTTCATCTCATAATAAAGCTGCGGTAGGTTGTTTTTATAGTTGTGGTGTAAACTCTATATATTCAACGGAGACGAATTTCGATTTCTATTTTGATTTTTTAGAGCTTTTGAACAGTATACAGCTTATAAGAAATTATAAGAAATGTCGTTTTCAATGTATTGATGTAAACGTCGAGCACTTTTTTTCCTTGTATTATTTGGAAAACATATTTTGCTAGTTTTCTTTGGTAAATTTATTTTGCACGTATTCTTTGGTAAACTTATTTTTGCACGTTTTCTTTTGTAAACATTTTTTGCACGTTTTCTTTGGAAAACTTATTTAGCACGTTTTATTTTGGTAAATTTATTTTGCACGTTTTCTTTAATAAATTTATTTTTCACGTTTTCTTTGGTAAATTTTTTTGCACGTTTCTTCGGTAAATTTATTTTGCACGTTTTCTTTGGTAAATTTATTTTGCACGTTTTATTTGGTGAATTTTTTTTGCACGTTTTCTTTGGTAAACTTATTTTGCACGTTTTCTTTGGTAAATTTATTTTGCACGTATTCTTTGGTAAACTTATTTTGCACGTTTTCTTTGGTGAATTTTTTGCACGTTTTCTTTTGTAAATTTATTTTGCAAGTTTTCTTTGGTAAATTCATTTTTCACGTTTTCTTTGGTAAATTTATTTTGCACGTTTTCATTGGTAAACTTATTTTGCACGTTTTCTTTGGTAAATTTATTTTGCACGTTTTCTTTGGTAAATTAAATGCACGTTTTCTTTTTGTTAATTTATATAGCTTAATTATCATTTGGTAAATTTATTTTGCACGTTTTCTTTGGTAAACTTATTTAGCACGTTTTATTTGGGTAAATTTATTTTGCACGTTTTCTTTGGTAAATTTATTTTTCACGTTTTCTTTGGTAAATTTAATAAGCTAGTTTATTTTGGTAAATGTAATTTACTACTATCAATTAGTAAATAAATTTTGCTGTAATCATTTGGTAAATGTAATTTGCTATTATCATTTGGTAAATGTATTTTGCGTTAATCATTTGGTAAATGAATTTTGCTATAATCATTTGGTAAATGTAATTTGTTATTATCATTTGGTAAATGTATTTTGTCTTAATCATTTGGTAAATATAATTTACTACTATTATTTTAGTATTTTGTTACAGTGAGAACCAGAAAAAAATAGTTTTACTTTAAATAATTAATTGAATCACTTAGTGAAGTAAAATTTGGGTCTGTTTACACTTTACAATTGGTATTTTTCATGTTCATTGAACTGTTCAAACTATAACTTGGGTATACATGTCGTCTTCCTATCACAAAGTTTTCTGGTTTTCAATGTAGTATCAGTTGGTAAATGTATTTTGATTGTATTTTGTAAATTGGTAAATGTACAGTCGTCGTCGTCGTACATAAATACAACAAAGACGTCTGTCGATTTCAATTCTAATTTCTAGAAGCTTTTAACTACCCATAAAAAGGAAACAAATATTATTAGTCAATTAATACGGTTAAAACCTAAATGAGCCAGTCATCGAAAGAATTTATCAAATGTCGTCTTGACAATTTTTCAATGGGTTTTATACTATTTTGCGTAAATTTCAGTATTTGCAAAAAAAAATAAACACCCTTGAATATGCGGGAACAGTATTAAAAAGCTCCATATAATCATTTAATCAAACTAAATATCTGCAAAATTCCATTATCAGGAAGGGAAGAATACGACATTTGATGAATTCTTTCAATGTATGGTTTATTTACGGTTTAACTGTAGCTTATCTTACGATTACGTGTTAACTTGTAACCTAAAAATTTCTTGTTAGAAATCAAAACTTTAAAGGGAGTGACCGGCTATGTAAGGTAGTTGAACTGAGTATGCAGTGTTGTGGAAAACTTCTTTCAGATTCATTTAAGACATATTAAACTTTTTAAAGATTTGTAAATGCTGAGTTTGAGCGCAAATTCGATGTTCAATACTCCTACATTTTCAAAACTAGTTTTTTTAAATTATAAAATAACGACGACATAAAATGTAAAAAAGTATAGGAACATGTTGAGAAAGAAAAAATTAATTTTATCATCGAAAATAAGTAATCTTGTTCAATTATTAGTTTCTCTTTTCTAATTATTCTGGTTTCTCATTATTCGCAAAGGTTTTCTGTAGATTTTCTAGAATTATTATTGAAAAGACGACATTTGAAGAAATCTGCGAATAATTCAAAGTAAATAAGAAATTCAATATAATAATGAAAACGAAATAATAGATTATAGAATTGATTTATTAACAAATGTCTTTTGAGAAAAATGTTCCCAACCATCTAATTAGATTATTGTATTATTTTTACTTTATTTTTCGTTGTCGTTATTTAATAATTTAAAAAAAACTAGTTGTGAAAACGTATCCACCCCCAAATTAGGAGTGTTGAACGTCGAATTTATGCTCGAACTCAGGATTTACAGATCTTTAAAAAGTTTTATATGTCTTAAATGAATCCGAAAGAAGTTTTCCATACTCAGTTCAACTACCTTACATAGCCGGCCACTCCATTTAATAGAAAAACGATCTTCATTGTTTTGACATAGCGCCGACCACTGTATTTTGTTTGTATCATTTGGTAAATTTATTTTGCATGTTTTCTTTGGTAAATTTAAATGCACGTTTTCTTTTTGTTAATTTATATAGCTTAATTATCATTTGGTAAATTTATTTTGCACGTTTTCTTTGGTAAATTTATGTAATGTAATTTAAATTACAGTAAAACCCTTAATGAAGAATACATTGAAAGAATTCATCAAATGTCGTATTCTTCACTTTCTGATAATGGAATGTTGCAAATATTTAGTTTTTTTAATTAAATGATTATATGGAACTCTTTAAAACTGTTCCCGCTTATCATGGCTATTTATTTATTTTCGCAAATACTGAAATTTACGTAATATAGTATAAAACTCATTGAAAAATTGTCGAGACGACATTTGATAAATTCTTCCGATGTATTCGTTATTAAGGGTTTCCCTGTATAATACCATTATTTACTAATTAAAGAAATATCTATTTAGGAATGAGGATTGTTTTTATTTTCTTATTAAATCCTGTTTGTTACAACTGTGTCTCTATATCCAGGTACAAATTAAACATGCAAGGGTAAACCTACATTTCGTTTTGATTTTTAGGGACAGGGTTACCCACAAAGGATGAGACTGTAAAGACGACTTAAAACTCTTCAAGGTATAAAGATTCCAAGGTAGAGTCAAGTGGTCTGTCTTAAAAATTTTTAAGACTTATTTCAGGATTTTTCAAAGAAAAAACCACATTTGCAGGGAATCATGGATATAAATTCCGTGCAGTCGTCTCTGAAGTTTCCTTCTTTGTGGGTAACCCTGTATATAAATAACTTATAATTTAACCTGGAAATAAATATTATAGAACACAGATTAGATGTTTCTGATCTGTGTATAATCTGTATCCAAACAACAGTGGTAAGCGACTGTATCAATAAAATGAAAACGACTTTGGATTAAAATTTTGATTTACATCAAGCTGTTAAACAGTATAGATACACATAAACATAGAAGTCAAGAGAAGCTGTCAATCAAAAAGCGTCTCTTTGATTAAATGTTAACTTTCAAAACTTAGATAATTAAAAGTCGTCTTCATTGTATTAATATAATGGCTTACCCCTGTATGATGTAGGGAACCTTCACCTTTTGACTGGTAAGTTAATTTCCCAAGCCAGTCCCCATTAGATTTTCTCATAAGTAAAACATTACAAAAAATACCTCTTTTTTCATCTAAAAATAGATTGTTTTCAAATGTGGTCTCATACAGGGTGTCCCAAAAAACATGGGAATTCAGTGACGAATTCGATATCGTCTTTTTGTTTGTTTATGTTTTGACTGCAACCGGTTGTACTTAGTAAAACAAGAAAATTACAGTATACAAACAGAGTAAACTTGTCCGTATATTCACTGTTCATCTTGCGGAGACATTATAGACACATCTTTGTAGTCTTTTACCCTTTTCATAAAATAAACTCTAGCAGACATAATAATATTATGGCTTTTGAAATTAGGTATTACAATGCTAATTCATAACAAAGACGATATCGAATTCGTCACTGAATTCCCATGTTTTTTGGGACACCCTGTATTATAAATGTCTTGATAATGATCATGCAGCAAAAGCAATGAAGAAAGTTGCCAGATTAAAATTTTTTTTTCAAAATACAGGGTGTCCCAAGAAACATGACAGTAGTTAAATAGTTTTAAAGGTCTTCGTCCTTAATTCGTTCCTTTATTTAATACCAAAGAGAATGATAAAGAATATTATATGGTAGTCAAATTAAAATAAAATTTATTTCAATGTAATTAAATTTGAATCAAAGATGTTTTTAGCAAAATAAACTACGATAGTCTATAATATCTAATACAGTATCTGGAAGACGACATTCAAAACTATTCACCAACTGTCATGTTTCATGGGACACCCTGTAGAAAAACGGCATTATCTACATTGTTACTCAGATAAAGAAGGGTACTATAGCAATCAGACGTATCACGCAATAATTAGGTCACTTTAACAAACTATTCTGTCCTTTTCAAGAACTATGCAGTCCTTTTCAAGAACTATTCTGTCCTTTTCAAGAACTATGCAGTCCTTTTCAAGAACTATACAGTCCTTTTCAAGAACTATACAGTCCTTTTCAAGAACTATGCAGTCCTTTTCAACACCTAAACAGTCCTTTTCAACAACTAAACAGTCCTTTTCAACAACTATACAGTCCTTTACAAGAACTATACAGTCCTTTACAAGAACTATACAGTCCTTTTCAACTACTTATACAGTCCTTTTTAAGAACTATACAGTCCTTTTCAACAACTATACAGTCCTTTTCAACTACTATACAGTCCTTTTTAACAACTATACAGTCCTTTTCAACTACTATACAGTCCTTTTCAACAACTATACAGTCCTTTACAACTACTATACAGTCCATTTCAACAACTATACAGTCCTTTTCAACAACTAAACAGTCCTTTTCAAGAACTATACAGTCCTTTTCAACTACTATACAGTCCTTTTCAACAATTCTATACAGTCTTTTTCATCAACTATACAGTCCTTTTCAAGAACTATACAGTCCTTTATAACTACTATACAGTCCGTTTCAGCGACTGTACAGTCCTTTTCAACGACTGTACAGTCCTTTTCAACGACTGTTCAGTCCTTTTCAACGACTATAAAGTCCATTTCAACGACTATACAGTCATTTTCAACGACATTAAAGTCCCTTTAAAAATTGGATTACGTGAAAAAATGCAGTCGTGTATCGCGATCGGCTAAACATCGCCAAAAATCCACTAATTATTTAATTTCAATTTAAACAAATACCACATGTCGTCTTCTACATTCGTAGAAATATCGTCTTCAGTGTGATGATAATGTCTTCTTCCAAAGTAGGGATGTGGGTGACTGTAATGTGGATAAACCAGGAACTAAAGACGGACAAGCTACTCTCTTTCAGGTTTATATAAACTGCACTTAAAAGGGACTGTTAACTTATTTTCAAGTGACCCGATCTATTAATGTGCGATCAAAACTGTAACTTTAAAGCTTTTTCTTGACAAGTATGTACACTTTTAATCTACAACGACAAATATCTTTCACTTTATTGATCAGACTCCCCTCTCTTTAAATAACAATAACAAAACCTTTAGTACAGAACGGTCCATATCATATTAGATTATCTCCAAGCTTTAATGCCAAAATACATTTTTTATAAATGTTTTTTTTTAGTTTTTTAAAATCTCAATTTAAAGCTATAAACGATCTCATGTGATGTGGGACACCCTGTATAATAGACGTAAAGTAAGGAATATAAATTGGAAAAACTTATTTATAAAAGTCATGCAAAACCGTGGGCAACGCCGGGCATTTCAGCTGAATTAATATGTTACAACCAAGTGCAGGTAAACGACAGGGAAACTAATATTTCAATATGTTTAGGTTGGTTGGGCCTACGGAAATGCTTGCGGATACAAAGCTCCGAATAATGCACATGGTAAACTATGTTATTTGTCTTGTTTGTTTGTCTGTTTGTCTGTCCGATCATAACTCAGGAAGCCTATGACCAATTTGCCTCAAATTTTGATTGGAAAACTCGGGAGAACCACTTGTAAGTTTTTCTAGCTTAGAGCCTAAGTTGAGAATCGACTTTAAAAGCAAAAATTTAGTTTCCCGGTAAATTCGACTAAGTGCGGGTAAACGGCGGGAGTAACTCTTAGTACCCTGAGCAAGGCTGGGTTCCCAAGCTTGTATTAAATATAAGAGGTGTCCCTGCACAAAACATGACAGTTGCAAGACAACTTGAAGGTCGTATTTGATCTTTGTGATAATTTACGGCATTTATTCATTAACCTTGCTTAAAAGTATAATTCTAGAGTTAATAATCACGCAACTCTCGCAGTCCTGATGTTTCCAAAAATTTTATATTTTCAATATAACCAGATTTTTGCAATCTTGATTCAAGTTAATACATTGAAATCTGAAAGAAATTCCTAACATATCTCTGGCAATATTGACAGCACAAAAATGGCAAACCACATTTTGAAAAGCCAGTTTTGAACAGTTGGTGATTATTTCAATAATTATACATGAAAAAGTAGCAGTTGACGGCATGAAAAAGTAGCAGTTGACGGCAGGAATGCCTCGAAAAATAAAACAAAAGTAGAAACAAAAGATACGACATTTTTTAGTGAACCATGACTAAGGGTTTAAACATGCAATTCCAGCAGAATCTCTTAGTCTTGCTTAATTTATTAATTGTTTTCTTAATAATCACTTAATTGATTGCGGGGTTGATTGGTTGATTAATTGGTTGGTTGATTGGTTTGATTGATTGATTGATTGATTTTCAGCTGGTGGATTCTTTGCTGCTGTTGGTGGGACAGACTGGAATGATGGATATGGTTGCGGCACCTGCGCACTTCTTAGGAATACATATAATTCAAATTAGTCGGATTTTATAACAACAACAAAAAGAGGGGAAATTACAAAGATAATATATATATAGATTTGCAGGCAGGTAGAAACCTCCTTCCTAAATTGCCTGTAGCAGACAACTAATTTTTGAACCTCTGAGAAAATGTGCAAAAAGAGACATCTATAGCAAATTGATTACTTTCTATATTCCTTTCTCCCCTTTCTGCTATCTGTAGGAAATACGCATTTGTGTTATATAAACATACAGTACGCGTATTGCATCCTGTATAGTTCAAGTGTTGCTATCTGGACCTGTTTGACCAATAAAATTAAATTTCAAGGTAACACAAACATACAGTACGCGTTTTGTTTATGTTATGATCAGATCAGTTGTAATTTGTCCTAGACTCGATGTACTTTTATAGTCATAATTTTTATTTAAATTTCGTTAATTTACGTATGCCATTCAGTACAACTTGCACATTTAAACTTTTCCTACCTCAGTTTTTATTTGCATTGATTAATTTGTTTCATTAAGTACAATATGCAGTATACATTGTTGATACTATAGTACGCATTTAGTGTTATCACGCATAAACAAAGTGATAAATGAGCAACAATCCAGAGGATAAAATGCCATGCGTACGACAGAGATGGTGCTTTGTGCACATGTTCTCAAGACCTCTAAATTTATACCTGTCTGCATATCTATATATATATTATCGTTGGGAAATTACTTCAAAGTAAGGAAAATTGTCAACAATTGAATTAAAGAAATTGAGTCTTTGCCACAAACTCAGATTTTCTTAGCAACCAAATGTCGTAGACCTTAGATATTTAACTCTATGAATTCTGTTATATCATATAGTCTAAATTTGGAATACTTGAGCTTTATTCATTCAGGTTAAAGATTTTTGGATTGAAAAATGTTAATTTGTGGCAAAGACTCAATTTCTTTGTTTTTTTAAGTAATGATTTGAATTTGTTAATATTTAGTTATAACGGAACTGAAATAGTGGTAAATGTAGTGGACAAGTAAGTAAATGATATCTCCAAAATTCTTCTTCTTTTTTTGTCAAAAACATGTTTTGAAAAATTTTAAAATATAAATTATGTTTTTTCGCATTGTTTATTTTTATTTTTTTATTTTCAAAACATGATGTTGATACTGTGCTATACGTACTACAAATGTGTGGGTGGGGTACATGTTTAAATTGTACAATATGTACTGCGGATGTGATGGGTCAAAATATTGTACTATTTGGAGTGCATGTTTAACTTGAACTTTATGTACTGCATGTGTGTTAATTGAACTCTATATGTACTGTAGGCTGGGGGTAGGGGGTGTTGTTGTAGTAGAACAGGTTTATTTGTACATTATGTACTGCAGTGCAGTTGAGGTTTGTATAGTTATAAGCAAAGACTTTGCTAATTAAAGATAGCGCATCAGAAAATCTACGCAAATTGGACGCATTTTCTCGGGTTACCATAGATAGTATGTAATGTCGTCTTCTCCAGAAATCGGGTTTATATTTACCCTGTTGACGTTTAAAAATGTCGTCTTTTGTAATGAATTAAATAGTTATTTAAAAGGAAAACAAGGAAACCACTTTAGTTTTTCTATTTTGAAATATTTAATTTGTCCCTAATCCATAAAAATACCGTTGTTTTTAGAACCTTTAATGGGTTGGTAACTTGAAATTACAACTATAATCATTCCCTGAGAACATTTACTTTTGGTTTGAAGTATTAATTGTTTATAAAAAAAATAACCTACAAGATCTTGGTATTTAAATTTCAACCATACACCAATCAAGTCTTATATCTTTTATGCAATTGTAACCTTGTACTTTTTAACAGTAATCAATTATCTCATTTTTTCATTTAAGAAGGAATTCTCTCTCTACCTGATTTAAATGAATTACTAAATTAACGTCGTAATATTTATTATACTATAAATTACTTTTAAAATCAGAGGGTTTGAAATGTTTTTCACATACTCTTGGATCTTTTACTGTGATATACTCTTGATTTAAATGAAGGGCCTTAAGCCACAATTTTTATCTTTTGGGATTTGCTGGAAATCTAAACCGTGATCCTCCTACTCTTGGATTGCAGCTCTGTATTATACATGGTGGAGCTTTGATTGGCACTGACGGACCTGAATTTATCAGAATTATTCAAAGAATTTGTAAACATAAAACTATGGAATTTGAAAATGACATAATTTATAATTAGACAATCTACTTGTTATCTGCTCAAAAGAGGTATTTTAACGTTCATTAAACTATTTAATCGTAAATTGAGTCTAAAAGTCGTCTTCGTATTCCTTAGGTTTTTTTTTCACCAATGTATTTATTTTTTTCCGTCTTTAAAATACTCCAATAATTAATGCCTCAAAACTTATGTAATCAATTTTAAAAGACTTAATTAATTCGCATTTTTAACCAAACTTTCTGTGATAGTTTTTCTTTAATGGTCAATATATTTGAAACAAAATCCCCATAAATCAATTAAAGAATAAGATTAACACATTAATTTATGCAATATTTTTTCTTTGCCTAAGATTTAACAGAAGACGACATTTACACCAAATTTATTTACCGTTTATAATATTGGACATTTCTGGTCCCCTCTTTTCTTCATCGCCTAAAATTCCATTCCATAGTACCTCAGAAAGAATATTTGACGACATCTGAAAATTTTCACAAATAATTATCGGCTATTTTTGATACAAAATAGATGCGTAACTTCATCACAAATTCAGCTATCATTCACCAGATGATCCTCATATCCAACAAATGATTAAATAGATTTTAAAATACAAATTAATATCATTAATTTTAGAAAAATTTTAGCACAAAACATTCACAATTGTGTTAAATATCTAAGGTTTTAATGTCGAGCGTTCGACTCTCAAACAACCAAAATAACCAATGACGTCAAAATACAGCTGTACTGGTGTACACAATAGTCGGAGAAATTTCCAACGCCTTGTCTTTATAATTAGCAAAGTCTTTGGTTATAAGGATCTGTTGTACTACTGCAGTTGTGTTGTACTTTATGTACTGGAGGTGTGGGGGTTGTAGCACAGGATGGTTTGACCTGTTGTGGGGTGATCGTGCTGTACTTTATGTACTGTATAGGTGTGGAGGTTGTAGTACAGGATGGTTTGACCTGTCGTGGGTGGACCATGTTGTACGTAATGTACTGTATAGGTGTGGAGGTTGTAGCACAGGATGGTTTGACCTGTCGTGGGGGGGGGACCTTGTTGTAATTTAGGTACTGTTATAGGTGTGGAGGTTGTAGTACAGGATGGTTTGACCTGGGAGGACCGGCCTGGGATGCTCTTACAAATAATGCTCTGCCTGGGCATATTCATAATGTTGAATCCAGGTAAAAAATAAAATGTTAAGTAAAAAAGATAAAAAGTGTTAATTTAACTTTATTTTGACGTCCCAAGGAACTTTAATTACAAGTGACACTTAAATTTTAGGCAGGGATGTATAATAAACAATGATGTACCTTTTAAAGCTTGATTATAGACAAATCATGAAGGAGATACCTATTTAAAGTTGATTATTTTCAATTTTTTAAAGAGTGGAGTTGTATATCGGGCATGGGCATATGCCTTTATATAAGCAAAAAGTTACCTAAAATCAAAATGTCAAACAATTCTCAACCATCATGAAGATCAATTACATTTTCTAATCTAATAAATCGTTTTTTAATCTTTCTAGCACAGCAAGAAATAAGGAAACGAACCATTTATAGAGAACAACACCGAACATTATTGTAAATAGTTTTAGGCGCTGTTCAAGAAAATTTACAATTTGAAATATTTTGACAAAAAGCATTTATAATTCTAGGACTCAGGGACCTATTTAAGGGTTATTTCTTCAAGTGACCACCTATGCAAAGATGGCAATGCCCGAACCACAACGGTATCCTTAAAACTTGATGCATGTAATAGATAATTAGATATCAATGTGTTTATCTTCAAATTGTTTGTGTCATACGCGGTTCTCTGCGAAAGTGACTTGCGCATTTCTTGCTCATAAGAAGCAATGGAGAAATTTTTTCGAGTCAAACAAAAAACCGACGGTATTTTCTACATTATGCAATTCTAAACGTGTTTAGATGGATTGAGTGTCCGGATAAGCTGCTGGGGGGACACAATCTAGAAGTGTTTGTAAAAACAGGCAGCCATGCTTGGGATGCCAGGTTTCAGGTAATAAATTTAAACATGAAGGAGCCGCTTAAAGTTTCTTTTAAACCATGAATAAATACTCCGTAGGCGCACTTTTCAAATTACAAGATAAGACAAGGTGCATGATTTCATGTGGTGTTAGGTACTTTCCCAAAGGCATTTTCCCAAGGGCGAATTTCTTCATGACAATTTCCCAAGTGGCAACTACACAAGTGTGCAATTTCCCAAGCGGTAACTTCCCAAAGGATAGGTTAGGCCCTCTCAGGCGCCGCAGGCTGCAATGGGGGTCGATTGCTGCGGCTAAGATGGGTTAGGGGCCGAGCACTGCGGCTAGGAAAGACTTTGCAAGTTTCCGCTTGGGAACTTGCACATTTGGGAGGTTGCCATTTGGGAAAATATTCTTGGGAAGTTGCCACTGCGGAAAAAACCTTTGGGAAAGTAACTAACATTTTTCTTGTAACCCTCCCTTTATAGAGTGACATAACCAATAAATAACAACACCCTTTAACGTAGATTTCCCTAAAAATTAAAACTAATTTTGGTTTGCTAAAGATTTTCGGATATTAGACATATTAGACATATATTTGTGCACAAAATAAAATCATTGGTTTGCTATAGTTTATGATTTTCGGATATTAGACAAAATAAAATCATCTGACTATTAGAGTTGCTTAAGCCAACGCTTTTTAACCCTATTCCTGCCACTGCCTAAAACCGGGCTTTAATACTAACTGCCTGAGTCCTCAAGCACACTGCCTGAATGACGGCTTTTTCCTGTAACAAACTAAATCTTTGTTTTGACCCACTTCCACTTGTCAGATTGTGATAAAATTTAGCTTTTTGGAAAGCCTTTGACATAAGGAAACAAATTGCACAAGTTTTGCGAAAATAAATTGCAAATTTTTTGCAAACAGCCTGTCAAAGAAAATTTGCACATTTTTAGTTTTTTTTGATTAAAAATTAGGTTATTTAAAATTTTGCAAAAATTTTTGCATATTTGAAATAGCATGGTCAAGGGCTTTTCAAAAATGTATAATTTTTTATTTTTTGGACAAATTTTTTTTGCAAACATTTTTACTATATAACTGGATTTTGCGATAAAAATTTCAATTTTTTGCAAATTTGCAAATGTTTTTGCAGATTCTAAAAGTAGAGCACAAGAGCTTTCCAATGATGTATCATTTGTCATATTTGGACACCAAACATGGGATTTAGAGGGGCGGGGTCAAATTGACCCCCCCCCAGCATATCCTGGTTTTCAAGTACCCCAGCAGAGATAGGGTTAAAGAAGAAATATTTAAGTACTCAATTTTTAGCTTGAAAAAAAAGATATCCTATCTTTGATCGAATTAAAGTCTACAGGATACCTTTGTGAATCAGACATGCCACTTCTGAAAAGATTTAATTTGCGTCTATTACAATTATTATCTTTTTTCAAGGCAACAATCAAATGCATTTAATAATTATGAAAATAATATTGTTTATATGATTCAATTTCTGAGAATTATTGTGTTTGGTTCCAATAATTTGGAGCAATCAAGTTTTCAATAAAATAATTTTGATTGTTTGTAAATTGTTAATAAATATAAGGGTGTCTCTCGAAACATGACATTTGTTGAATAATTTTGAATGTCTTCTTTCATATGCATGAATTAGATATTAACCCTATTCCCGCTGGGGGGGGGTCAATTTGACCCCCCCCTGTAGTTTTTTTTACATAACTCAAAAAGTATTGGTCTGAGGCTGTTGAAATTTTCTGACTTTTCTTACATAAAGAGCTTTCTAATGATGTATCATTTGTCATATTTGGACATAAAACATGGGATTTAGAGGGGGGGGCCAAAATGAACCCCCCCCCCAGCGTATCCTGGTTTTCAAGTACCCCAGCGGGGATAGGGTTAAAGACTTTTTGCGGTTTATTTAGTTTAAAAAAGCTTCACTCAAATATATTTTACTTAGAAATCAATTTTACTATAATATGGATGCCATAAATATTTATTATTATTCTCTTTGGTAACAAACAACTTGAACTATTATGGAAGTAGACATTTTAAACTATCACCAAATGTCATGTTTCGTGGGACACCCTGTATTTTCAAACTAATTAAAAAAAGTTGATAAATGCTCAGAGTTTTCAATATAACAAATAAACCGAATTAAGAGCTTGAAAAAAGTAATAAAAATATAATTAGTCCAAAAACGAAAACTGAAGAATAGTTCTATATACCGTATTTTACAGTGTGGACCCATGTTCATTAGGAATACAAAAAATCATAATAACTAGAGTCTAACAGTCGTCTTTGTATTCTAAAGTTTTATGAGTCCCACTGCAAGTAATATGCATTTGGTTGGTACGTTTGTGGGTCATTAATTGTCTAAATTTTCAACAAAATTTTTTTTTAAATCATTCAAAGTCAAAAGGATTTGAGTATTTGCCACTAACTCTGATTTTCTAATCCCTATATCTTTGCAACCTGATGGTGGAAAGACTTGATATTTTAAACCTAGATTAATTGATATATTAGAGTTCAAAGTTTAAACTATCAAAATTCTATTACACTGGGTTGCAAAGATATAGGGTTTAGAAAATCATAGTTTGTGTCAAAATCTCAATTAATTTGGCTGTAGTTCATTATAGTACAATATAGTACAATATAGAACAATATAGTATAATATAGTACAATAAAGTACAATATAGTATAATATAGTACAATATAGTAAAATATAATACAATATAGTATAATATAGTACAATATAGTACAATATAGTACAATATAGTACAAAATAGTACACTATAGTACAAGCAAAGCAAACGTTAATAATAATTGTTATTTTAAACAATTTCTTTCCTTACACTTTGTCAAATATTGATCCTGGAAGTAGATATCTGCAAAAACAACTATTTAAAAAATACATAAACGTTGCAATAATGAATAAATAAATTATAAATTATTATAAATTTTTGTTTAATAAAGAAATTGAAAAGTTTAATGAAAAGCAAACTTTAACAGAAAATTGTGTTTAAAATCTGTAAAAGTTTTATCATTTATTTCTTAACGATCCAAAACAAAAACAACATTAATTGTAATTATGCAAGAGTTTTATGTTTCTTCTTTCTAGCCGCAGTTCCACAAGTCTCCCATCACATCCCTGAGTATAGATACAGGATCTGGTATGCTTTTACAATTTTTAAAAAAGTAAAAAAATCGTCTTAATTTTCATAAAAATTGAATATTTCCCGTTGTAGGTGACTTTTATTTTGATCTTAAACAAACTGTTAAAACCCCGGCAAAAAAAAAATCAATGGCAGAGTATTTAAAAAGTACTGTAAGACATATTTATCATTGTACGGTGTTCTTTTTCTAAAATTCTACATATATCTCCAAATAATTTCAACAGAAGAAAATCATTTCGGAAATACCAGGACTTTGGGTATTTTATGATTGAGTTTTTAGAATCATACAAGCAACGACGAGAAAATGCCGCAAAACGTTTTTTATACGACCTTTAATTTTTTTTCTGTAATTATTAGTGGTTTCTTCTGTACCCTTATCCCAATATATTGTTTAACCAACAACCAAAACCTTTTCCTGTATAAAGTTACTCCATGAGTTCCGGTTTTTTCTCCATATGTACCTACTCCGTGAACCAACTTAATTCCTTCTCCTATACTCCATTAACACAATCATTCTCTTTCCTACTCTAAATAATAACAACTCATGAATAACTAGATTTTGTTTCAGGCTGGCAGCTGATGAATAAATGTGAAAACTTTATGTTCTGTAAACCCGGTAAAATATATTTTTTTATCCAATTTTGAGAAAGATTTTTTATCGTTTTATATACAGGCTATTATATTTCGAAGATTTTCATTTTAAAAAATCGCATTTTTTAAAAGGAACTTAAATTCCTTAATCTATATAAATATTAACATATTAACACAAGGCAGCTAGTTGCATAATTTTGCTTGATAAGTTCATCAACTAGATGTTAAATCAATCAGATCAATTCTCTATTTATAGAATTAAATAAGCTTTTGTTCAATCCTAATTCATGGCGTAAATATATTTATATCTAGGTGGATTAATACTGAATGGAGCATATACTTTAAAAATATCATCAGCTGTCCGCAATATTGATCTGAAGGTGAACATTTCATTAAATACATAAATACCAATCTTACATCTAAAGAAACAGAAATATATTAAAAAATGTTATTTTTATTTAATCCCCCCTGAATAGAGTTTACTTAATTAATTTTGTCGAGATCTAGAAGATTATCTTCATGTTTACGGCTTCAAAATCTTTATAAACAGATATTAATTACACTTTTTAACACTCGGTATGAAAAATAATTTTATACAAATATTTTAAATAGTCAAATTGTACTTAATTTAAACAAAAATTAGATTGAAGCTTAAAACATAAAGCATTCAGGCTTTTGTTGAGTTACAATTTTCTAAGAACCAATTTGGTCAAAATTAGCATACAAAAAATATATAGTAATTTAATGAGAAATTCGATATTGTATGCTTCAATTTGGTTTTTTATTTTTATTCTAGGGTTCCCATTATTCAGGCAAATATTTTAATTAAACCCTTTGACATTGAGGAGGAATTGCAATGTGGTGTCATTTAAACCTTTAAACTCCATTATTGGCATGTTACCTTTAGTTTTATTTTGCATGATTTGTAAGAATAAAATACATTTTTTTAATTTTTAGGTGATATTTTTCTTACTTTTTATTAAACAGCTCATGGCTTTCTAGAGTAAAGCCAATTATGGACTCTTGATGGGAAAGGGTTAAAGAATTGGGAATGATCTGGAAAGTTTTTCCACAAAGTAAAATTCCAGGATAATTCTTCCAAACAAAATGCAAACTCTCTATTTTTATGGATTTAACAATGGAAATTGTACATTTTTTATGGTTTCTAAAACCTTTTCCAACTAGAAATCGAAAAAAAATCCAGACAATTTTTGTAAGGAAATGAAAATTCCGATGAAAACCGTATTGATGATATAACCAAAAGGTAATTTATTGTTAATTTATCTGTTGGAATATTTAGATGACCTCTATACCTGGTGGGGAGTTTGTAGATACTAAGACCAACAACGGCAATGGAAAATGTGGGGCAGGAAATTCTGGAACTGTCACAGAAACCAGTTTTAGTCTTCCCCCATCGTCTGCTGTTCCTACCTCTTCAACCACCCCCGTTACTCCTGTTTCTGTATCCAGTAATCCCAGTACCACTACTACTGCCGTCTCAGTTTCAACTTCTGAAACCACCCCACCTTCCAAACCTTTAAAACCACAAGGTAATGGAGTTGATAAATCTATTAACAATCTTGTAAATGGTTATGGTTGGTCATGTGGCTGCAGCGCCCAGCCCCCTAGCCTGTCCTAGCCAGGGTGCTTGACCCCCTATCCTGTCCTAGCCACAGCGCTAGGTCCTCTAACATGTCCTAGCTGCAGCGCTCAGCCCAGAAATTGTCTTAACCTAACCTAACCCCAAAAATGATAAGAAAATAAATAATAATAAATTTGCTGAAATCATGTACAAAACTGATAGGAGGGGGACCTAGGGGGGTAGGTGGTTCAAAAATCGTTCACTAGGACAGACCCAATTAATGTTTCAACTTAATTTTTTTAAGGTCCTGGGAATTGTGAAGGAGAGGGTCTTTTCCCTGACCCTAACGACTGTACTGGTTTCATCAAGTGTGCTCAGGTATATCTAAGATTTGTATTTGTACAATTGCATCAATCTCATACTTATCATAGAAAAGCCTGTCTCATGCAAGTTTTTTCATTCAGAGAAACATCTGGTTTGATTTTGTCATACCAAAAAGGCAATTGGAGTCAGGGCTGACATTTTAAAAATTAATTGTATTTTCTGCTGCCTACCAAGTGAATTAAAATACCTGTCGAAAGGAGCCCTAGGTGAACTTCATTATAGTTGAAGTAAGCCAAAATCTATCATGGTATATGATCAATCTTCAACACTAATGATAGGTTTACCAAAGCTTTAGGATATTTTTCTGACAATTAATTAGTTCTTACAGATTAACAACAAACATTTTTTAGGGAACTGCTTATCCTATCAATTGTGGTTATGGTCTGTATTTTGATACAGTAGCCTACAACTGTAATGCTCCTGCCTACACTAACTGCAATGGAAGGCCAGTTCCAATTAGAAGAACAATAGAGATCTACTATAATTACGTCAAGGATACCCTGACAACTCTCTGGGCTGGCGTATACAAGTATATTCAAATCTAATTATGACATGTCAGAAAATGGATGAGACAATGCAGAATTTTTTTTATTTAAATTTAAAAATTTTTCTGTGCTATGTGTGCTATGAAGTGGTTACCCATATCAACAAAGCATATACTTCAGAGAAGACTTTTTGGAAAAGGGGTTTTGGTCAATATTAAAGTCTCATGCTTAGAAGATATAACTAAATATTTTGCATTCACCTAACCTCTTGAATAGGGACAACAGTAATTTAAACCAATAAGTCTATACTAATGTAAACACCTAATTTTGTCTAAATTTCTCACATAATTATTATAATTTGATTGATTAAGAAATGTATAAAGGGACTGTATAGGAAAAATAAAAGGGGTTATATGATGAAATTTAAGAATTTCAGGCATTGAATGATACATGTAAGACATCTATCTGATGTTCCTGCCTCGAGAAATTGATATAAAACTGTGTCAAAATTATACCAAAATGTATTTATATCAGATTTTGCATAAGTGTTATAGTATTAAACAGATTGTATTCAACCTCTAAGCAACCAATCTAAAATCTAATACATCCCAAATAAGCCTGAGAATCTTAGATTTGCTCCTGTTATAATTGTTATTCTTATTTTGCATTTTTAATAGATATGAATAAGTCACTATAGAACTTCCAATAATTGCAGTGCAGTATTGTTGTCACTTGTCTCTGTATGTATCATGTGACCAGTATTCTGACTTTGTCTGTTTAATGTTTATCGTTAAATTCTAAGATTTAAAAAGAAGAGTCTAAAAAACCTTACACATTTTCCCTTCTCAACTAGACTTGAAACTATTAAAGGATAGGTCACAATAAACAACTAATAGGGTAATAAAAAACCTAGGTAGAGGTGTGATTTATCATTACAAAGGAAATCCTAAACCTGATGTACTCAACAGAAGGATTTAAAATATTAGTACCAAGTGTAATATTATTATGTAAAAACAAGGATTCTTGGAACCAAGGTCCGTTTTCAATAAGTGCTCAAATTTTAAAGTCATTTCTCAGTGTAAAGATAATACAATTGTTTCGCTACTTAGCTACTTAAAGACCTAATATATGTACCGTGTGGTATTTCTCAGGATTGGATCGTAAGACTCCCTTCTCTCAACGCTCTTCATAATAAAAAGGAAGATAGTAAGGTTCCGAACGTTTATTTCTCTGAG